TTGGTATTCAAAATTTGCCATTTACGAGGTTTAAAACTATAGTGAAACAAAAAGGATATTAACTAGATTTAGCGTACTTGGATGACATAAATCCGTGGTATTGACCCGTTTAGCTCTAAAAAAAGGTAGCCTCGACCTAAGATGTTTAAATTAAGTATTATAATGACAAATGTATTCAATTGTATATTTATAAAGAACAACTCCTAAAGTTTCTTGCTCATTCTTCCCAGGGGAATCTGCCTTAGGAATGAGCAGTAAAGTTGAATCAGTATGACGATGTATAATTCGGTTACATATGAAATAACGATTATTTCACTTTGACGTTGAGTTTGACCGAAAGACTTCTAGTCTACAATTTTAAAATTATAGACTAGACCCCGCACTATGCAACGCGAGTGCACCGCGAGATCTACGCGTAGTGTACGTTCCACGCTGGGCGTTACACACATTTGTATGTGTCATATGAGCACAGCTTGATGTCGGTATGTATGCATAGGCACATACGGATATTGAAATTGAAACTAATATTATATATTTTTTATTGTATCAAGTGACGGGACGAACAAGTCGCATCACGCTGCTACGTTTGTATGGAATTACCATACTTGACTTACCACCAGGCGCACGACTTGTTCGTGCCGTCTCTTGATATAATAAAAAAATATATATGATATAAGTTTCAATTTCAAAATACAAATGTGCCTATGCATACATACCGACATCAAGCTGTGCCAATATTACCCAGGGTGTGCGGTGGGGTTTGCCCGGAACACACGCCTAAATTGGTTCAGGGTTGACGCGACAGGTTTAAATGAATTGGCCGTAAAAAGATTGTATAGCTGCTATTATAGACAAAATGGCATCATCACTTTTCACAATGCAACGATTAGTTAGGAAAATGTAAAGTTTTCATAAAGCCATTAATATTGTTGTTTGACGTCGACGCAGTGCCTTGTATATTCAGCGTCCTAAAATATAATAATAATAAATCTGCCAGATATAGACAGAGATAGATCATACCAATTACCTGGTCTCTACTACATAATTCCTTGTACTATAGGTACCAGAGCATTGTGAAGACTTTTGTTAACATCTCAATCTATTTTGTTTCGGTAGGATGCCGATAGATGGCGTTGAACCATTTGTGAGTATTCTCTAAAATGCGCTAATAGCGTTGTTAACTGAAATTGTATTAATTGCCAAGTGATTTACAATATATTATGAACATGCCGTTGGAAAATTTGGATATTTTTGGCACACTATACAGCAACGGAATTCACTCTGGGGATACCCACCAGAATCAATTCAGAAAAGATCATTTCCCATACGGGGGAATCGAAGCCGGGTCGTCCTCAAGCATCGTCCGCAGTGCAAAGCGTTTTACGTAAAATTTGTTGTGCATTATGAAATTTTTAAAATTATACCTTTATTAACAATTAGGATTCTTGACGTAATAAGGCCACATCTGCAAAATGACAACTTTTCAGGAGAAGTTAAATATTTTATGAACGAAATTAGACGATAACTTTTTTATGATTACATAGAAGTTATAAAATTGTGTATATAATTATTTTATGTAGTTCTTATTATTTTTATGACTGTCACGTGATAAAAACATTTGACGCATGATTATATGTGGCTTTAATAATAAAATATAGATCATTTAAATTGGTATAAACAAATACGAGTTTTTTTTAAATTACAAGTTGACAATGACGACACATGACAATGTGAAGTCCTAACTCTGCTATTGCACCAGCAAAGAGCTCACAAGGATTGGTAAAGTTACAGTAATATTGTACTTAGTACTTAGTTAATTAATTAGGACTTAAACATTACACTTGTTATAGTAACTTACAGGCACATGAGACTTGCCAACTTATAACACATAAATACTGTCCTATCTCAAAATTGTGTAGTTGAGAAAGCACAATTCGAAAATTTAAAAAATAATACGGACTAAATCTTATTGAGAATAGTATTTTATTTTTATTTATACATAATACTTAATTATCCATTCATAAACGAGATTAATATTATATTGGTTACATTCAGTATTTTTGAAATGTTCAAAACGTGTTTTCTCAATTCAACAATTTTGAGTTATGACAGTATTTGGTTAGTGACGGGCGCAGTGGCTGTACCCCTGAGATATTTACAATTTAAAGCTCTGAGTGGCACTGTAATCTCAACTATTATGGACAGGCATGTCGCTTATCACGATTTGTTTGTCCCGTCCTTGGTTGGAAAAAAAAATCGTACATCATCGTAGATACAAAATGTCAATGTTGATTTTAAATAACACGTAAGCAGTACCTAGGCATGTTACTCGTGTTATTGTTATTACTAGCACAATAATAATCAGTTGACGTTAAATTGAAGGGCGTTTAACGGGAACGAATCGATCAGAAGCAGAATGGCAGATATTTGTGGAAAGCTATTTGGCTCGCACGCGATGTCTCAAGTTCCTCGCTCCACTGCGACGGAGTATTTAGATATAACTATATCTCTTTCTGCTCTGATTTCTCCTTTACAGTATCAGTTGTGTTATTTGTAAGTAACCCGTTACCTACAACGGGTATGTAGTCCACATTAGTCTGGTACAAACAAACAGTTTAGTCTTACCCCATTATCACTGTACTCTGTACTGTTTATCTGTTTAACATTTCAGGGGAAATGTTCTTCTTTGGTCAGTAGTCTGGTCAGAAATACCCTCGTTGTCTTTTGTCCAAAAGAAAATAGGTCTAATTTTGAATTTCTGTCAGTCTAATCAACCGCTGGTCATTCCAGAGCTGACCACAGATATTGCTTATTAATTTGTTTTATTCAATGTAAAAATGAGATTCAGATGTTATCCCGTGACCAAACAGGGTGTGACCGCTCTGAATAATGAGGAGAAATATATTTCATTTTACATTATATTGAATGTTATATTTTATTTCTGCCAAACTGGCAGTAATGTGATCATTAACTCTGTTTCGATTTTGAAAGGTAAGGGTGCTGGTGATTTTTTTTAAATTACTGGCAGGTAATACTTGTCAACTTATGTCTCAGGGTGACGGGCGCAGTGGCAGTGCCCCTTAGATCTTTGCGATTTAAAGCTCTAAAGGGCACTGTAGCTGGTCTTGAATAGGCGTGTTGCTTGCCAGCAGGCGCAAGACTTCTTCGTCCCGTCGATTGATCTCATAAAAAAAAAGTTATACCATGGTAATAAACCTGTTGTTTGTAATAATTAAAAACCCGAAATTCTCTATTCAGATTTAAATTAAAAATCAAATCATTTACCGATAAAAGAAGATTTTACTATATGGTTCCCTGGGTTTGGATAGTCACTCCAGATTGTATATTTTCATGCATGTGTTGTAAACTGTGAACCTTCCTTTGGTGGATTTGCGTGACTCAAATAAAAGGTTATGAGAACAATGCGGCGCGATACCCAGGCGGCTTATAAAATGTCCCTAGCTACCTATAATTTTGCGCAGCGTCACGAAACTTTCAATTCGTTAGGCCGTTGCATGTTTTTGTTAGTATTTAATATATATATACCACACCATAATGACATCCTTAAGTAATTTATAAATTATGACTGGGAAATGCTACAACTCATCTACTTGTTTTATCCCTGTCTGACAACGACGCAAATGCTGAATATTGGGGACTAGTTCAGTTTATAAACGGTAACTCATAGACTAAGAATATATTTTATCTACTTAGTAGTCTTAAGTTCCATTTTGAAAAATATCTTATTTTTCTGAAAAATAAATATTTTTCCAATATTTTTTCTTTCATTTTCCACATTTGACGTTGACATCTGTCAAAAGTGGAAGGTACTGAACGAAAACGATCGAGCCAACAACAGTGGTGGTGGTGTGGTTGGTGGAGGTTTTTCCACTGTTGTGAAATTAGATTTAAATCTCGTTTTTTTTTTCAGTAGCTTCTAGCTAAACAAATTTATTTTATGATTCACGCCAAATAAAACTTCAAAAGATATATGTAAGCGTAGAACATAACATGAGCATTCCAAATTATATTTTTCCATTTTTTCGGGAATTTTTCAGGAAATATTTACACTATTTGAAATAACTACAAGGCAAGAAAATATAGAATGCCGCCAAAACTGATACACATTTTTGTAGCCCGTCGAAATTCTGTGACTTAGAACGCTCCAAGAATTTAATCCAACAATAAAATGAAAGAAAATTGCTCTTCCGCGAACCTAGTGAAGATTAAACGTACAGAATTGTTGCGCTTGCACACTAAACTCAGAGTATATTTTTGGTTTTTGTTTGTTAGGGATTATAATTGCGTGTGTGTTATTAAACATTTTATTAATGTTTTACCTGTAGGTGAGAAAATTAACTGCGCAAAAAATCTTCAACACGAGACAAACCTTCACTGAATTCACGGAGTAGCAAAGTAATTTAGATCCATTTTTATTAAGTCAAGTCTCCGTAGGAGAACCCCTAATACCTAAGGATATTGTCTATAGAATGTGCTAATTTGTTACACAATAGGATGTACTTCATTTTACCATATATAATCCCGAAAACAGTCTAAACTAAAAATCTAAAACGAATTTTTTAAGAATGAAATATCTAACTTTGCACGTAATTATTATATGGACATAATTCTTTTTATGTACTAAAGAGAATCTGCAAAATTTTTGTTTTCAACTGAAGCCCTATAGTTATTAAATTCACATTTATCCCAATCTTTGAAAATTGCCCAGTGGCTTAACGTCGCGCCGCGATTCCTTCTGCCCCGTCAGTCGCCATCGGGCGCCTGTCGACGTCGGATTTGTGTTAAATTTTTTCCACCTGTTCTTACTTTGTTCGTATCAATTTTCAGCGCGCGGCTGCGGGAAGCAAGGGGCAATCCCCCACACCTCACCTTCTAAAATGTTGGCTCACATTGAAATACCTTGCCTTAAAAATATATAGAACTTTGTGGTATCATGTAATATTCTGCCAAGTATAGAGCATTTTCCATATGAATTACAGGCTATACCAAGTCCGCGTGGGGCTCCGCGTATCGCCGAAAGTGCCAGTGCACATCGAGGCATCAGTATCGAGCAGCAATGGCGGCGCGCGCGCAGGCCGGCCTGCCGCCAACGCTGCACTCATCGGTGGGCTGGCCGCCTCGCGCCCCTTCCAGATCATGTACCGCAACGAGGAGGTCACGCTCAGGGATATCGTGCACTTTAGAGCCCATTTGCTTGGTGAGTACCGAATACTATATATTTCTGGCACGGTTTTTATAGGAGATTTATTCTCGGTGAAAACAACCGTCGGAGGGGTAAAATGATCAGTGGTTTTTCAATGACACATTTTCTTACATATTCATTCATTTTTCATTCATCCACTAATCACATACCTAAGTATGTGATTAGTGGATGAATGAAAAATGAAAATGAAAAATGAAAGACATTGTATCGTGATATGAACTAATTCATATCACGGTAAAATATCTCATAAATAACTATGCCCTTTCAGAGGCTACTGTCTTAAATTTCGTACCATAACGTCGAACTCTTTTACAGTATGCATAATAAAAATAAGAGGCGAGTTGTTTCACACTATATCAGCGACGAATAGCTTTATAGAGTAATTTGCTAGTATGATCATTTTCAACCGTTACCACTGTGCAAAGATAGGGTGAATGTATTTTCTGAAGACATCAACAAATAAAACTCTACTAACATGAACCGACATTTGAAATATATAGGTAAGAACCACATTAAACTTTCAATGCTTGAAAAAGTAATAAAGTCTTATAACGGTCCAAACGTTGCTTGTGTGCGGCATGATGGTAGCGTCCGGAGCCATATTACGAGTTTTAGGCCCCCGAGGGCGCAGGAACTCACCTAATCCCGGTCTCGAGGAAGCGCTCTGTGCGATTATTAATTTGCCCCTCGTGACACCATTTTCTGTGAAACTCGTTACAAAGTTGCACAAAAGTGGTATTAGTTTTTGCAAATTCACATTAATCGGATTCGACATTCTTCTTGTTATATGGAGAAAGAAGTTCCTCAAAACTAAATGAAACGTAAATAAATAGCAATTATTCGCCTTAATACGTATAAGGTCATCATATCAATAATGAATAATCTTAAAAGTATTATAAATATTTATTTTTATAAATATATATTTATTATAAATAATAATATAACAATAATTTAAAATTTCTTCATAAACATAAAAAAATTAAAATTATTTAAATTATTAAAAAATCATCCTCGCAAGCATCCCTCTTAAGCTCGCATAAACATGCCACAGACGCTGCAAAAGCGAGGAAGCTTCAATCAAGGAAAAATCCTAAAGATTTAGGATTTTTCCTAAATCTTTAGGATTTTTTTAGACTTGTAGAGTACGCGCAAGGCGCTGCAAGCTCGGTGTGTGAAGATGGACTACAGTATACAAGTAAAAGTTTCCATGTAGTTTCTATACTTTAGCCTCTATCTGTTGCGTTGTGAAGTTCGATGTTTTGATATTCATTTATGGTTTTAGTTCTATCCTCTAAGGATTTTTGCTTAGATTATGGGATTTTAGTGTCATTTCGTGTCAATGGCTGAGTAATAGAAAACATTATGAGATGATGATGATGCGTCGGAGTAGTGGAAACTAGTCTGGGTACTGGCCAGGAGCTGTATCGTCGGCAGTTAATTGAATTTATGATATGGTACCCAACTTGTACCAAACTGCCTCCGTGGCCAAACGATTACCATGCTGGACTACCAAGCAAAGGTCCCAGGTTCTATTCCCGGGCCGGGAGAAATATTTGTATGGCCTACATTTATTTATCTCGTGAGTTTTGGTGTAATTTGTGGTTGTCTATGTGTGTGTCTATGGCACCCGCGATACAGTTGTTGTTGTTGTTGTATGTTGAGTGTGTGCGTGTGTGCGTGCATTAAACTGACTTTTTCCATGCGCCTACTTCAGGTGGCCTTTGAGCCGTCCTGGACCATTTTGAGAAGGCTCCTAATCTACTACACGTCGCAATACCTTAGTGTTTAGTACACTTGTAATGAAGTTGACGACCAGCACCCTTATTACTTTCGCCGCCCCCTTTTTTTTCTTTTTTCTTTTTTTTTGACGGCGGGGAAATCTTTATGGATACCCCTGAGCCCAGGGAGACTCAGGGGTTATGTGGGGGCTCTCCCTCCAGACTGGAGGGCCTACCCCACTAAAACCCCCCCGGGTTTCCCTCTCGCCGGTTGAGTCGGCGCCGTGGGATCAGTGAACATTCACCACGACGCCGCCCGGCCGCCCTAGCTTACGCCAGGGCTCCCGCGCCAACGGAGGGGCGAGTCGGTTGTCCTCTGACCCGCCCCCCAGACGAGTGAGGCCGTGCAATGCAGGCTCCGGAGTCTCTGTCCAGAGCCCGCTGGTCTCAATAGGGGATCAGGCGAGCAGCGAACTGCCTTCGCCTCCTCCCCGTACGTCTGCGCCGGAGCGGGTGCGCGTCCGGCGCGTCATCGCGCACCCTCTCCGCGGCCTCCTTTTGCGACATAACCTCTGCGCAAAAGGAGGCCGCCGCCTCCCAGGACTCCTCGCTATCGAGCATGGCGGCAACCACGCTCGGCAGCGAGAGGTCCTGCCCTACAGTCCCCGTCAGAGTGCGGCGCTGCTCATCCCACCGGCTACACACCTCTAGGGTGTGCTGCGCGGTGTCATCCGCAGCGTCGCACTCGTGATACGACGGGGACGGTTCCCTCCTCGCCACCTTGTGCAGGTAGTGACCGAAGCAACCGTGCCCGGTCAGCACCTGCACAAGGTGGTACGACAGTGGCCCGTGGGACCGGTTTACTAGGACACTTTACTCTACTAGGACAGGGCGGATCGCCTCTATGGTACGAGCGCCATAGGGGGGATCCGCCAAGCCCTCTTTCCACCGGTCCCGCATGCACTAAAAACTACTACTAACCTAACCTACCCTAACCTAACTATGTACTTGTAAAGCATAATATTTATACAACTACAGGCCCTTTTGAGGCAAGTTCCTTTTCTACCATTATACAATTAAAGTAAGAATGGTTTGGGTGTGGCGCCTGCGGCGGCATCGGCCGTAGTCCCGCCGGGCCGTGGTACTGGCGGTGCGGAGGTCCCCAATCTCCGCAGTCCACCAGTACACACTCTTTTTGCCCGGGGTCCATCTGACCCTGGGCATGGCCCGCTCACGTGTTGGCATGGCCCCGGTTGAAGACGACCAGCCCTAAGACTGCCAATCCTCCAACTCTGGCCCCCTGGCATTGGTGACCGGAGAACCCCACGCCGCGCTCTTGGCGTTGAAGTCCCCCAACACCAACACCGGCGTCGGAGCTGCCCTCCTCAACGCCCTCTCTAGGGTCTCCAGGAATGCCTGGAATTGGGCCAGGGAGCGGTTTGGAGAGAAGTACACCCCAATTAGGATGACTTCTCCCCACCTCGCCGCCACGAACCCTGACCCGCGTTCCTTCACCACTAGAGGGGGGGAGTTTCCGGCAGTCGACGCCACTATGGCCACCGTCTCCTCCCGATCCCCCGCCCAATTCTCCCGCGGGGGGACAAAGTGTGGCTCCGCCACAGCAGCCACCGCAACCCCCCACTGCGCCATGGCCTGGACCAATAGGTCCTGTGCTCTGGCGCAGTGGTTGAGGTTGCCCTGCAGTATAATATGGTGGCGTGCTACTTTCGCCGCCCCTAGGAACTGCAATCTTTTGCAAGGAGCTCGCAATTACCGCTGTGCCACTATATAACTTATCAAAGTCAAATAACCATTTATTACATAGGTAAATTTTTACCTTAAAAACGTCATTTTTTAAGCTACTGCTCGTTCACTACGCTGACCTCCCTGAGAAGAACAAGCAAGAAACTCAAGGCATTTCTGTTTTCAAATAAACTTAAATGCTATGGAATACATTTTGAATCATATTTGTATTGAATTTAGACCCACGTTGTCTTTCCATACATCTTTATCTAACACGTAGTCTACAATTTTGTAATATAACTTTTCAATTAAAATACTTTTAATGTAAGTTTTAAACTTAGGAAATAGTAATCTTAATATATGCTCCGGAATCTTATTGCAAAAACGCATACATTTCCAGTGGTACCATGAGTTTGGACTTAGTTCTAAGGTTACTATTATCATGGACCAATTATGGATATCTTCTTTCTTAACGAAATTATGTATATTTTTACGGGCATACAAAATATTGGAGTAAATGTACTGTAATGCCACAGTCATGATACCAGTCTCCTTAAACTTTTTTCTGAGAGAAATCCGAGAACCTAAACGGTACACAGAACAGTCAAAGAGAAACGGCAATTCTAGGACCCGGGCCCCTTATTCCTTCCAAATAGTCGTCGTTGAAATTGCTACAATACTTGATTCTATTCCATTACAGCCTACGTACTTACTTGACATTGTTTATGTCATGTTCGAATCATTAGCTCAATTAATGACGCCCACTACACATCGCAGAACTAGGTAATTTTCAGCCGCAATTAATATTTTAAGTGCTATAAGTATATTATGCTTTAAGTAATTAATAGATTCAGGCGTTACTTTGCTGAAGTCCATGTTAATAAAAATGGAAGTAAATGAACCTTCACTGGGTTCGCGGAGTAGCAAATTAATTTACTTCCATTTTTATATTATGCTTTATTGAACGACATGTAACTATTTTTAACAATTGTAGCTACACGCTTTAGATTTTATTTAGCGGTTATATAATCGAGAGCTGTCACTAAATCTTCAAAACCCAACTGACGTACAATACACGTCTCATCAGTTTTGATAATCCACTTATACCTGCTGAAGAAAGATGTACATAAAATAAGTACATGATACCTTTTTTCTTCTTTTCTAGTTGACAGCCGAAACCTAAAAGAGTCTCTGGAGCGGGCGGAATGGAGCCTTGGTGTGGAGCTGTGGTGCAGCGAAGGCGCTCAGTCGAACACTCTTACGCCCGTTTCCTGTCGTGTGCTGAAGCTCCACTTCCAGCCAGCACAGGGTCTGCACTACCACTTGCCTGTGCTCTTCGATTACTTCCACCTTTCGGCCGTCTCCATCACCATCCACACTAGCTTGGTTGCTTTACATCAACCATACATAAAGTAAGTTTCATATACTTCTGTTTTTGCATGAACCTTCTTACCTATATAACATAAGTTAATATGCTTAAGAGTCTATACAACCTCAAATGGCTTTGGTTACTTCCGCATAACAGTGAAAGTGCAGAATCAATCACTTTAGAAAAAATATATAGTAAAATTGAGAATGTACACTGATTACTATACGGTGTGAAAACACGAGTCCTAAAAATTATCACGACAGAAAAAAATACAAAGTTACTTCGAAATTTTACAAGAAAACGTTGTATTCAATAGGTACTTTACATATACCAATGATATTTTTTTTATATCAACTGAATTAAATATACGATATACAATTTTCAAATAACTTTAATTTTGTTTGTAAAAAATAAATTCTGAAATAAAGCCAGAGGTACCCGCCGCTCGACTCGATTTAAATGAACCATATTAGTATGGGATAAAATTGAATTCGAGCTGAAGTAGTATAGACTCTTAAGTAATTTACGTCTATATACTTATTATGATGCCCAATTCGCACAAGAACCTTATTTTATGCTACTTTCCATGTCTGTCAAGGAAAAGCATAATGCACTACGTGCAAAGTTGGTAAGTACGCAAATAAAAATCTCAAAGGTTTTTCGACCTTCTAATTGTAATTAATAAAAACGAACTAATAAATACACATAAAGAAACGGATATTATCCAAAACGATTTAATATTTTCAGCACCCCGCGCTCTAGCAAGCAGTGGGGCAAGCTGATGAAGAGCGCAGGGTCAAACTTCAACGCTTCCGCCAGCTTTGAGAACTTGCTATTCGGTTCTGCTGGCAAATGCGCTGGTGGCAACTCTAGCAAGATTGCACATGCTAGGTAAATATGATTGACTTATACAATGGACTAGAAGTATGAGTAACAATTTTCAAATAACATTATTTTTCCTATAGACAAGTCCATGCGGAAATTTGTGGAATACTGCTAGGCTCCTTGGAGGGCCTACAGAACGCACTAGCGATCTGTGGAACTACCGGCGTGATTTTGACTCCTGAGGATTCCTCGGTCAATTCCGTTATCGGCGAAGTAGCTCAACGAATAAAGGACCTTAGTAATGGAGGCAAGGTAAGAAAAATAAGAATCGGAACCTATGCTTCAGTGTTTTGCATTTTTATAAATTGTTCTATGAACATGTAGAATAGAAATTTGTAACATAACAACCATTTCAAGTTTAATCTCTTGTTGGTTTGTATCAGAAGTCTGAAGCTGGTGAGGAAGAAGAATGGGCGATGGGAGCAGCTCATGACATTGCGCGATTATGCGCAGAAGTGACGCTACGCTGGCGTGCCTTCCTTCACCACACTTCTGATCGGCCTCATGTTCACCATGCTTTAGCGGCTAGGCATCATGCGCTAAGGTACATTTTCTGTGCAAAATTGACTTAAATTTTCATTGCAAAACAGGAACTAAATTCAAAATGGTGTTAACCGTTCTGTAAAACGTTCTCGACGTTTCAAAGTCTACCATCCTCCAACCATATCAAAGACACAAACGGTTAAGAAACTATAGTCGCTGCCTGTTTAAATTTTCAGAATTCAACGCTTCTCTGAATGCTTCTTCGTACTAGACAATCCACGTCATTCATTAGCTGGATGCTATGACAGCAACTACCAGTCGTACCAGAGCGTGGGTGAGCTGGCGCGACGATCACGTTATCTTGCGTTGTTACCGCCGCTTCCCGTGCATTGCATTGCGATGGATGGTGACCCACATATCATGCCAATCATCTTTGAAGACAGGTGAGAACTTAAAGATCTTCGAAGACAGGTTAGAGCATAAACACAAGCGTTTTTTTTTTTTGGAACCCGCATGCATACAGCTGATACTTACTAAATATCCATGGATTTAGTCAACAGTGGTAATTGATATTGAACGTGGTCTTTACTTAACTTGATGGAAATGAATATGGAAACTTCTCAATAATTTATTTGATAACAAAGATATTATTTTGATACATAACAAGATACTCGGGAGAATAAATAAAACTATCAAATTTGACGTTTCAGGTATCAAGACGCGGCGGAATTTGCTAGACGCCGGTCATTACTGAGTTCTGGTGCTAGTAAATCTGGTAGTGGTAAGTGACCAGTATTTTATGTAAATATTATTAGACACCAAATACTTCGACTTCACCTATAGGTTTATATATTTCTTTCTTTTCAGATCCTTTTTTGTGTTCGGAACCCCTTGGAGACGACTGTGCCTGTAGCATAAGCTCGATTATGGATTCGAGAAGACCCTCTTCTGAAGCATCTAGAATAACGTTAACTTTACCAATGACAATTATGGACGTGCTAGAGCCACAATTCAATGCGCCCAAGTCTTCTACTAACGTAGTACAAGCAACACTTACACTAGCGCCGCAGAAATCAGCTCGTGGATCGCCAAAAAGATCTCTAGTCAAACAAAATGCAGTCGAAATGAGTAAACCACATAACAAGCAATTAGAACTTTCAGGCAGAAATAGGTACATCGTACAAAATAACCAAATAAGTGAAATACAACTTCCTCCCAACAGCGCTTTTGCTTCATGCTCCATACAGCAAGGGCAACAATTGTCAAGGTATTCTGCTTCGACGCTCTTAGACATCAATGCAGCAAAGAGTAACACAATGTCAAGAGCTGGAAAAGTTAAAAACGATCTAAACGAAATTTTTCGACAAAAACATGAGATCACCAGTGGTGTCAGTACACTTCCAGCGAGACACAGCAAGTCTTTGGATCAATTAAGAGTTTCACAAAATATAGCACCTGTAAATAATGCGCAAACAATAGCAAACAACGTCAGAAATAATTCTAATACATCTGTAAGCTACAATCCACCTTCAAAACCACATGTATCTCAACAAATAAAACCCACAACTCTTCCCCGAAGTGTTACCACTACTGCTTATCCCACGAGTACGACAACAAGATGCGGAAATAAAGGGGAAGATTACAGAAGAAACATTAATGAATTCAGAGAAAAATACAAAAACCCCTGCAATATGAATTATAACCACCATGGATTGAATAATGATGTGTTTCATAGTGTAGGATATAATTACGACGGAGTTATGAAAACTAATCCAAATCAAGTGTATGGTTATACTTTCGGAAATCAGGGTAATTTGCAGGTGAACAATATTATTCGCAATCCATTAGAATTTCAAAGAGGTTACAACAATGTAAATTTACCCCGTCCTATGTTACCTCCGCGTAATTCATACCCACCTGTTAGTGGAAAAAACCAAGGGACTGATCAAAATAACTTAATTTCTAATAAGCATGTTCACAGATCAAACTCTACACATGTATTTCATCAAAATATGGAAAGCCAGCAGCAAATCGATATAGAGGCAGCACGCAATCAATTGCGCCACGAACTCAACTATTATCTCCAGAAAGGTGACTGGAGTTACGATTTTAATACTGGTAGCTTAATCCAAAATTATCAGAAAAAATCAAGTAAAAGTAGTGATGATAGTGGATTTGTAATGACGCTAGATAGGAGTAGTGACTGTACTTCAAAGTCTACGTACTCTAAAACGCCTCCTTCAACCCCACACTCTACATTGCCCTCAGTAAGACACAAGAAGAGCCGATCCAAAGAATCAAAGATAAATAGTAATAGTAAAGATCACAATAAAATAAATTCAAGCAGAGATTCTCTAAACAGTCATCATTCAATAAGATCCAGAGATATCAAATCTGAACGACACATTTCAAAATCGGAAAGAGGAACACCAAAATCTGATAAAACTACTCCCAAGTCAGGAGCGATCACTCCAAAATCAGGAATAGCTACTCCGAAATCAGGCAGAGCTACACCTAAATCTGGAGCAACCACGCCAAAAAGTGGACGTTCTAGCGGAAAACCCGAAAAACGTACAAAACACAAACCTTCCGAAAAAATGACGCAACTGATGTCAGAAGCTGCTTCCTCTTCAAGTAATGAAAGTATACCTTTTGAACTCAGAAGATTAGAAACATCTGCCAGTGTCCCTTACAGCCTTGATCAAGGCCCAGAGTTACTACGACACTGCAGAAGTGCTGCATCTGTATTAGACGAACCAAATTTAAATAATACTTTCGGTTCGGAGTCGCTACCAAATTTAGCACCGCCCCCAGCATTCGAATCGCCGCCTCTCGATATAGGAGACAAGGATTTTAAAATTCTTCCTCCAGAAAATTTCCTCACAAAAGAAGAAAAAAGAAGTAAAAGTAGCTCAACGTCAAGTTTAAGTGAGCAAAGCGGATGGGTATCCAGTGGACGTAGTTCAGGGCCATCTACCCCTGATAATGCTAGTTGTCAATTAAATCAAAATTTCCCTCCTCCTAGCAATACAACCTCATCAAAAGTTCAAAGTAAAAAGTATGACGATCCAGCCGATGAGCATGAAAACACGGAAGGTGAAACAATTAATGATTTCAAAAGAACTGTACTTAATGGAGAGCAGTTACGTGAAAGACTACTAAAATTAGCTGTCAAGGTCTCTCAAAATAATACTGAAGAGAAAATAGAGTGCTGTGATAAAGAAGTATGTGAGGAATGTACTATTTGCAGTGACTCTATATGTACAGATAGTCAATGCGAATACAATAAACTCATGCATAGCAGTGGCATTGACGCTGGATGTAATTCAGATACCTGTACAGCGAGCTGTTATCAGCAGTGCGAGGCTAATTCAGCAAAGCTTAGTCAAAGGCATAATTCTTTCAGTGCCGGTCAAGGAAAGTCCTATACTTCTAATGCCAAAGTATCTAGTGAAGGTATGGTTAAAAAATCTCAAACAATAGCTGATAATCTTCATCCTTACATACGCAAAGAAATCCCTACCAAAAGTCAGATTCCCATTAAATCAAATACTATGGCCAAAATTGTATTAAAAGATAGAATCCAGTACACTGAAAAACTAATAGCAGCAGAAATAAGAAATCTATCAACAGATCATTCGTGTAAAACTCGCGTACCCGGTAAAAATGTTGTGGCAGGACCAGTGGCTGCAATCCAAAAATATCACGGTAAAGCCAAATCAGAGATAGATTTGGCTCATTTCATTGGCGACAATGATTACGAACATCTGCCACCACCACAGCAGTTTAGAGATGCCCCACCACCACCTGACCAGTTCAAAGTAAGACTTAATTTTCAATTTGGAAACAAAATTGTTAGTACTTTAAGTAGGGCTCATTTCCATCACTACTACTCGTTTCAGGACCCTCCTACAAAGTCACCTAAACTGAGCAGGCAAAGCAGCAAATCATCTACACCTTCAAAAACCCCAAGGAAGCAACCTGTCCAACCAGCAAGTCTGCAGTTAGACAATCCCATGTATCACGTCTGCGAAGGTAATATTTCCCATTTCATTGTTTTGATTATTATTAACCCTGAACACCTTCTGAGCTTTGCCAATAACAACACTAATCCCCCGGCTTGGCTTTTCATCAGGTGTAATGGAGAGGCGAAAAATGAGGCCTCAAAAATCTATAAATTCAACTACACCATCTACAGCCAGTACCCTGAACAAAAGTCAGAGTACTGGAGAATTGGCTAATAGAAATGAAAATGGAAGTATAAAAGGTAAGGTAACAAAAACACGATTAGTACCTATATTACAATTTTTTGTCCGTACTAACCAATTACGATGATGACTCATTTCTTGATGGCTGGCTTCCGTGCACTCGCTGCCATATCTTTTTATTTCTGTCACTACGCAATACTACGCAAAAAGAAAAATTCTTTCGATAATTCAAATTTGTATAAATCAATGCTTCGTTAAATTTATCTTTTAGCGTTAAAACTATACGATATTAATACTCAGATTTTTTTGTTATTCCTAGGACGTGAGAGTGATCTCGTAAGCATCTTTGGGTTGGCTGAATCTGAGCGACTCTTCTTAAAATGTAGAGACGAATTTAGACAGAGTGTGAAATATCCCGGAGCTATTTACTCGGACTTTCCTCCCGTGGAAAACTCTTTGCCGTACTTCCACATTAGCGACGAATATAGGATGTTTAACCCTGAAGGTAAGGTCAAAGTACAATAATTAAAGTTAATACAAACTGATGAAAACACTTCCACTGAATTGATTTCTTAATACATTGCTTATTCTTTATAGGTTTACATCTGATAATCTGTGTCCATGGCCTAGATGGTAACGCAGCGGATCTTCGCCTTGTAAAGACTTACCTGGAGTTAGGATTGCCAGGAGCTAGATTAGATTTCCTAATGTCGGAAAGGAATCAAGGAGATACTTTCTCTGATTTCGATACTATGACTGACAGGTAAATTACTGGACCATTAATAATCACTCTACATCAAATGCAAGTTTTTAATATAAATATTTTTGCTGAATCTGTTTTTATATTTCTCAGACTCGTGCAAGAAATCGTGACTCATATTCAGAATTCAAGTGAACCTGCGAGGATTAGCTTTGTGGGTCATTCTCTAGGGACTATTATAATCCGGTCAGCGTTAACGCGGCCACAAATTAAACCGTTCTTGGGCAAAATGCACACTTTTTTGTCTTTGAGTGGCCCGCATCTTGGTACTTTATACAATCCTAGTGGATTAGTTAATGCAGGTACGTTGTACGATATCTTACCTTACTCCTATAGGTGAAAATGAGGTCCTAGATCTTCAAACCAACAATAAAACATTTACAATTACGTTGTAATTCCCAGGAATGTGGTTCATGCAAAAATGGAAGAAATCTGGATCTCTCCTGCAGCTATCCTTGCGTGATGCATCAGACCCACGCCGGTCGTTCTTGTACCGACTGAGCGAACGAAATCAACTCCATCAGTTCAAACACATACTGCTGTGTGGTTCTGGACAAGATCGATATGTGCCCCTGCATTCAGCGAGACTGGAGTTGTGCAAAACTGCTGCTAAGGACATGTCCCTATTGGGTCAGGCTTACAAAGAAATGGTGAGCACAATACCTTCATTCTCCGTAGCATAAAAACCACTACAACTAACGCTCAATTTGCGATAAGATATTCACGACGGTTCCTGATTACGTCATAAAAATACAAAACTGAATACATCGCTGACTTTATACTCTAACACAGTATTGTAGAATATTATTATTTTGAGCTTACAACGATGAGTAGATCAAGCAAAATTTTACCGTGAACAAAGCACACAACTCTTACGGCAAAAAATATACGTAGGTAAGAAAATGGGTGCTTTACTCACGGTAAAGTTCACATGCTCTGCGCTCTCGCTACGCTACACTCGACGATAGTCTAGTAAAATTCGAAATAGAATCTTTTAAAACAAAACATTGCTTGGCAACCAATGATGACATATGAAAAGAACGCTTTTTTAAATACTCATTGTTTAGACTTGCTGCACGCCTAATTATAATTATTTAAATAGACAATTATTATTGGGTTTTGTAAAATTAATATTTACCTAGTCAATTTTATAAAGTACCTATTGATACATACGATTGAAATTGTGGTAAGTGTGAAATAGTCTGAGGTGAAAACCCTAGAAATCATATGTATTTGTTTGTTGGCATTTATTCTATATCGAACTTGGCTACAGTACAGATGCATTCAAAATCGTAGTATTCTGCAATAGATGTTATATAAAAGGCAGCGAAATAGGTATCAATGGTGTCAATTCGTCTCATTTAAGATTTATTTACTATTATGATCTTCAGAGACTTTTCCAAATATTTTTTTTACAAAAGGATATCTAAGAGCGGTTACAGACTGCGACTATCACAGCGATGCAAACGAGACGCCGCGCGCCGTAGCGATGCAGTCACTAATCGTCTACCTTTACACACACGCTCGACTTTAAGCAACGATGCAAACGCGATGCAAATGCGATACAAGCGCGAGGCACTGTTTAAATTAATTAACTAATTCATTAATTTAATGTATTTATTAATTACACTTTTAAATTTACAATTAACAAAATAAAATAATGTGCATAAACCTATACAGATTTTTCATACTTAATTATTCTATATAAGCGACTACCGATGTAGTCGCGCGTTTGCATCGATGCAATCGACTGTAAATCGCAAGTGTAGCGATGCAATCGCGCGTTTCACGAGCGCGCGTTTGGTTGAACCGTCTGATACTCACGCTGTTATAGGTACGTATATATGCACGAGGTGTCATAAATCGAAAAAAAATAATTGTAATTTTTATAATAATTTATTAACAATAAGAGATAACTAATAAAGATTTCCATGTGGCTATGTATTTTTAGATGTCTTTAATTAATAATCAACAATGTATTCGCATCCGGATAAACAATTTATACATAAAACAATGTGGGAAATACGAGCATAGACATGATCAACTTTACCTAAATAGTAAAGTCAAATAATTTATCTAAAATATTATTATATTTCGATGTCTAATTACATCCGCACACATAATAATTTACGTGCACCACTATATAAGTATATGCATACAATTTACATAAAATATTTTAACGCACGATCCCACAAACTATTAAAACCATGTTGCTCTGCGCAAGTACCTACATTCATTGCGCAACTGTGTGGTTGGTAAAACTGTAATTAGGATGAGTTGCATTCCATGTGCTGTATGTGTTTGAAACCACGCTTATTCAACCAATGTCTCCTGAATACCGTAACTTACAGTTCTCGAACGCCTAGTGGGTGAATTTGGACTACAGATGATGATTATTTTGTACTACATAGCTAATATCATCTTTCAGGTTCACAACATGGTGTCTCCCCTTGCCGCCCGAGCGTCTACCGTGTCTGTGGTCCGGTACGAGGTGCAGCACGCTCTTCCGCACACAGCCAGCGCACTCGTGGGTCGCGCGGCCCACATCGCCGCATTAGACTCTGATCTCTTCATAGAAAAGTTCCTCCTTGTTTCTGCCCTCAAATATTTCCGATAAAACAACTTTTGCACGTAAATTAATTGCTAAGAATTTAAATTGACAGTTCTGAAAGTGATTTGTCTTGCTATGTTATTTATAAGCATGTTAAAAACGTTACAAAGCATTTTTAGCATTTAAGTGAAGAAAAATAACGTTTTTTTTCTTTGGTCTGTTTTGACTACAGTTTATGAAATGTGCAATGGCCTCCAAAAATAAATTTGCTGCTTACCTATCGAGTTCTTAGGTTTTCGCGATTGTTACAAATAGGAAATTAAACTATTTTTATGGATCTCCATCGCGTGTAAAAGGTATAACGTGACCATGGTTTCTTTGAAAAATAAATATACACAGGCGATTGAGATCCGAAAAATAGTTGCAGTCCCTATAAGTTTTCTACGTTAGGCCCTTTAGATTGTTTCATAATTAAAAGTAAACCCCTTGTTTAGCGGTGATATAAGCTCGAGGAATGTGAAACCATATAACGGTATACAGTGTGATAAACATTTAGTCCTACAAACTTACGTAGTGTGATTAATCATGAAATGGGGATGTTTAAAATATAAGTAGGTAACGTTAAGAAGGATCTTTACACCAAATAATTAAGACTACAAATAGAAAATGTAGTTATTATAGATGTTAGTTATTTGTAAAATTGTATTGTGGTGTAAGTACATGGACGGTATTAAAGTTGGTAATTCACATAATGTTTCTATACTCACATTTGATGTTTTCTATTCGGTTTGCTTGTTATAGAAATGTTAGGTATCTATCTTTGTCACTAACTTTGAATTACTTACACAATAGTGTAAATTTGGATATTGTATAATCGTTGTCAGAAACTGATAGTAAATGGTACTCACTTAGGCTGAGATTTGAAAAACGAACATTAAGTTCGAGTAAGCAAAAATGGCGAGCTAAGCAAGTCTTTCGTATTTACTAAACGAACTTTGCTTAAGTTGAGTAAACTCAGAGTTTAATTTAATTTTATGCTTAAATTTAGACACAGTTCGTTTCGTCAACACGAACTTTATTAGCTCGTCACTTTTGCTTAATCGAACTCAAAGTTCGTTTTTCAAAACTCAGTCTTAGATATTACGGTACCTACTAATATACAAAGGTACAGCAATTCGGGGCAAGGGTCGGGCAAGTATAATGTATGGACCGCCCGAATTAGAGGGTTACGAAACTTACATTCGGTGGAATCACATGCGCTCGAATTACCATCTACAGATACGCGGTCGGCTGCACTTCTTGGTTAACGAACGACAACAAATGGTTGTTATATTTTTTTATTATAATGTTACCGAAAGTACTGCCTATTTAATAATAAGAAGGGCAAGAGGACACACCCGGGCTGAATGAGTTATTCCACCTTTTTCATAACAACAATAATCGACCTATGGCACAGTGTTTTTAAAAACCTAAATTTTGTAGCATTTCCTTTTTCTTCCAGATTCATACAGTTTGAACTAATAGAAACTCGAGAGTAGAACACCGGTGTGACAAATATGTATAATTTGAGAGAATGCAATTTTTTTATTGGAGTAAGTAATGCAATTAAAATAATTTTCGTCCGAATATTTAAACATTAAAAAAAAACATAATTTATAAGACCTATTTAAATATTATTGGCCATAAAACCATAAATAACACACATTTTATAGTGATCAGCAACGACATAAGTTTATTCTTTACGAAATTATTTGATTTTGTTTTTTCCGTTATTGCAAGATTTCCAAGATTTTTACACCAGCAGCGGTACTTTAGCTGTCTTCTACATACCCTAAAATTATCATCAACTAATTCTGAGGTTTATAAAATACTGCGTATGGCTAATACACTTTATATTTTTAAAATAGAGTCAATCTAACTACGCCTAAGACATTAACACGTTCCAATATCTTACAAGGAAAATTGCTAACTCTTGCCCCGAATGCACCTACAGATTATTATGGTTTCGTAATCTGTTGATTTAGCATTTATTTGTATCGATAAATGTTCTTATTAATTCACAGCGCCTATATACTTAATTGACAAAAGAGTCAACAAATATTCACGCCAGGTTTTCTTTAAATACCCTCAGTTACAAGAGCAATGTAGATGGACAAAATTGAACATATAATTTATAAATTAAAATAACTAAGCGTTCGTCACGTCAACGATTTGTTGTGAATGTTTATGTTCCTTAATGGTTCGGCTCCATTTGTCAACATGCACCAGGATCACGTCTCTGCTAAACGTGTATTTTATATGGAATATAAACCACAGAAACCAAATAAACGACATGTTTAGTATGAAAATACGACGCTAATGCGTGCTGGCAAATGAAGTACAACCCTAAATTAAACTGAGGAAAACTACGGCCTTTATAAACGGCCATAGCCTTAACAAAGGATTTCAAGTTAGTAATTTTAAAATTGTAAATTTTTATCGAATGTTAGACTGATCTTTAAAAATATACGATCGACTTACTTGATAAGTTTCATAGAAATAAATATGTTTTCTTATGTAGTCAATGATTTTGTGGGGTGAGGGGACCTTTCACATCTGTGACTTCAGCGCAGAGAACTTTTTGTAAGCAAACGCAACGTTAATCAGCAGGAACATGATACCATAGTAAAATAAGTGTAGTGTAGTAACTTCGTACAAAGTAACAGCACGACTTGTATGTGTGCGCGACTGCCGTGGCCATCTACGGACGCAGACATTCGAATAATAATTAAAGGCACGTTCCGACGACTATAGAATGTCTTTTTTGAAGATGGTGTAAAATGACATTTGCAGGGTTCGTACAATTTGAAAGAGTCGTGTAGTCGTTGTTGACAGCTTTATCGATAGATTGTGAACATACTTTGCCAAAAATGGCTGAATTGTGAATGTTACGACGTTCTTATTATTACTAATTGCGTTATTGTATTCTTTATTCTTATTTTGACATTTGGTCTATTAGTATTAAAATCAATTTTTAGACACCTACATTATAATAACGACAGGCGGATTTGATTATGTATATTAAATTAAAATGAAATACTTTAAAATGTCCCTAATTTTTTTTTTTAATACACGTGCTTCTTAATAAATTTAGTGTATGAATGAATTTTCAAAAATCAACAATTCTAATGTGCCTGCGCTCAGCAGTTGGACGTATAATGGGCCGATGATGAATCAAATGAAACAATTTCGCCTATTTATTTCTCAAGCTTCCCAACGTTTAGTTGTTAGTTGATACAATATTTATCGACTGCAACCACTAGCTTCACTTTCGCACAATGAACTGTCATTTTACTCCATCGTCAAAAAATACAGACTTTAGTGATAAACAACGCAAATGCATCGTGAAATTCGACGACGGTTAAATAATTATGTAAGTCAACGTAAACAACGCGACCTAAATTAACACTTAATGTAACCGGCGGTTAGCCAGCACAGTCGACTATGGCCTAAGCACTAACTAATGCCCTAAAGGAGTTTGGTTCCTAGGAATAGCGACATAGTAATTTGTACACACGGACAATCTGTAGTGCCTTTCTCTTATAGTATCGATAGCATACACTACAATGCTTGCCATCGTGGTGAAAGGACGTGGTCACTTCCAAAGGGCCTCATCAAAAAGCTCAGTCATTGAACGAGGTATGGAGCGAGCAATGCTCGGCATTTTTCTACGTGATCGAATCGAAAAAATGAGGAGATCCGTAGAAGAACAAAAGTCACCGTTAGCAAGTTGAAGTGGCAGTGATCAGGGCACATAGCTCGTAGAACTGAAGGCCGTTGGGGCAGAAAGGTTCTCGAATGGAGACCACGAACCGGAAGGCGTTCAGTGATACGGCCGCCTTCTAGACGGACGGATGATCTGGTCAGTGCGGCGAGTACCCGATGGATGCACGTCGCGATCGATCGACTAGTCTGGAAATCCTTGAGCGAGGCCTATGTTCAACAGTGGACGACTTCTGGCTGACATGATGATGACGATAATATAGTACTTGCTCATTGTTGTCCAGTGTGTGCCAGACGTACAGAAAGGGAATGGTACGTTGTGCGGGGAGGCTCATTCGTGCACCCCAAGACTCCAACAACACAGAAATCGCAGTTTGTTCTGTATATTTCAAACAGCTCTTTAATAAACTGTTGGCTAAACAGCGATGCGTTTCCATAACTCTGCGTTAAAGGATTGGTGTGAAACGGCTCGTACTTCTTGCTCTGTCCACTTCTCTTTATATAAACTGTAGGTAATATTTTATACAGGGGCTTGGAATTTCTCTTACTTTTAGATAAATTCAATGTACTTTACTGGGATAGAAATAGTGATACCACAATTGCTCACGGGCATGCTTTTATGAAATGGAATAGTAATTTAGGTATATGTATCAAAAGATGGAAAAAGTTTTGTAAATAGTAAATGGAGTTTTATTTGTAAATTACATTCGTATGTTTAATGGCAATGTGTCGATGTTATACACTTATGATAATAAATAAATGGATGCCTGATATTATTGTATTATTCATAAAGATTAGCTTGCAATCAGATAATTGAGACGTGTGAGTCCGAATGGTACCACTTTACATCACCGTTTACCAAAAGTTTTGAGAATAGAATTCACTTTCCAAATACACCATTAATCATCATGCATCGTACTGTATCACAAAAGTAACCCAAATCGAGAAGGTGCAGTGGCAGAATTCGTAGTCAAGTAGCCACCCCGAATTAGCTGGAGACTTAGAGGATGAAAAGCTGGAGAGGACTTACTATTACTATTTATTTTTTCCGGCCTCTAAGGGAGAGGACGACGTTTGGGTTTGACAAATAATCTATATGTATTATCTATGGGTTGATAGATCGGCGCTTCCTTAGAGGATGGAAAAAAATAAAGGATAGTCTAAGGGCGCTTCAACCTACTCGTCATAGATGCATCAATAAAGTACCAATAGCAGCGATTTTCCAATTAATTTATTCAACAACCAGCATACACACTGACAACACTCCTATACAGATTACATTTTATGTTGTGAACATTGACTTACAATTATATGGACGTCTGGACCGCGCTAAAAAGTGTCCGAACTTATAGGGCGTTAAAATCAGCGAAGCAAGCAAAATTAGACAGTACTGCGATGACATTACAATTTAAATTCAACGTTTTAGCTTTTTCATATTCCTTTACATGTCACTACGTTTAAATAGGTTGATTTGGGCCATTTTTTTCGTGGTTTATGTATTAGACCCGTCGTCCATTTATTTGTAAGTCAATGGTTGTGAATAATAAAATGGGTGCTGAAGCGGAAACTGTAATCACCAGCTCACCAACAGAAATCAATACGCCAGCAGTCAGCTTCCTACCGGCAGCTTTTCTTCCTGCAAATAATGACATTCGCCGTCATCTACCACAGTACAAACGGTACTTATAAACCTTAGACTATTCCTTTATTTTTATTTTCATCCTTTAAGACACACCAGGTATTCTACCATATTAGTCGCAAGTCTGCCGTGTCAGACGTATCTCATGTATCTCACGAAACCCAGTTTTGAGAAAACGTTGTTTAAAGTTTTTTTTTCGTAATTTGCCTTTATTTGACGAAGATTTTATGCAAATTATTGGGAAAAAAAAACGACCTAAGGAATACGGGGAAAGTTGCAAATCTCTGGAAAAGTATCAGTTTTTTAAATTATTATTGATAACAGAGTTTGGCGTAACAAGCTCGCCATACAAATTAAATAAATCGACGTTCTGAGTCTTAAGATACAGGACTTACGCTCAACACGTTTAGCGCAAAATGGTTTGCGTTTTGCATAGATGCATAGAATCTATAGCCAAAAATGCAGCGACGCAGCTTGTCATCCTTTCCAGGATGTAGCTACTTCAGTGTTTTTCCAGTTGTGTGGTTACTTCACACCGGGACTGCCCCGTATGTTCAACATGTGTTTTGATTGTAGTGGCCCTCCCAGTCAATTTTTTGGTTATGCTGGAAGGACACTACAACATCTGCATGACCAGGTCCTTATAAGTTCAGGTCCTGACCGCAGATCAGCCCGTGTACAGGGTTGTTACAGACCGTTGTCACTGACTTCATTCGGTTCTCAAGAGGCTAGTGTATCGGCTAAGCTGTCCCGGGTGCACGTACTGATGTTAGTACGCTCACTCCCCGTTGTGCATTGCACAAATAACGGTTGCCACCGCTAAGCCGTTGACTCTAAAGTCCACTACCAAATATCCACTTGGTGGCGGAAATGTTTTTTTTTTTCAAGATCCTACGCGGCTGGAGGGACCGGAGAAATAGCTCATCCTCAGCTAGCTCTCCGGACTAATGTCGGAGAAGTCAGTCGCAGTGTCTTGTGACAATGATCAGGACATAGCTTTCAACTATACGGGTAACTCACCCCGCTTTAGGTCCTCGTCTACACCGCTACTCAGATGCGCAGATGATGCTCAAGACAGACGCCCCAGACACACACCAACGGCCTCGGCTGCAGAGACAAGTTCATCTCTGCAGCTTCCGCAAACCCCGGCGAGTCAATACTCAATGTCCGGGTGCGCCAGAAACGCCCGTGAAGGCGTATCACTGGCTTGGCCCGGACGCTCGTCGTAAACTGGTCTTACCGAGAAGCCCGTGGTGTCCCCGGAACCCATTATATCTCGGGTCAGTAGATAGGGACAACACACACCGGGATAGCCGGTATACATTACTTTTAATTATAGTGGCTCTCTGCCGATCCATAAGATACACGAGAAGGGAACTATAACCTGTGCGTGCACAGGAACCTACTAAGTTCAGGCTCTGACCCCAGATTAGATAATGTACAGGGTTGTCATAGATTGTCACTGACTTCATCCGGTTCCCAAAGGCTAGTGCCTCGGGTGAGCACACACGGCGACAGTTACTTCAGCTGTACCAAGGAAAAGTTCAGTCTTATATTGACTACTGCTGCCACCTGTGAAATAGTTCTGCTAAATACCAACTGGACACCTTGGATTTAGTTGAAAAGCGTGTCAAGAGGCTTACCTATGTGTGACTGTGAGAGGTTTGTGGATGACTCGGTTTACTAGATGACAAACTGCAGAGTCTTGACCATCGCCGTACAGTTGCCTTGTTGTCGGTGTTCTACAGAATATATCACGAAAAGAATCTGACGGGATGGCATACTTTAATTCTGCCTCCTCCTTTCCATCATCAGGGGACTATATAGTTAGCGAAGCGTTAGCGAAACGAAGCGTTACGCTTCCACATTTTTATGGCAAACGGCTATGAAGCAGAATTCTTTGCTTGTAGACTTATTCCCTGAACTCTATAACTTAAGAATTTTCAAGTTGTTTAGCTTCACTGACGACCTCATCGTTATTTTTCATCAAGTGAGATGGAGGTCTTCCAAATCTTCATGCAAACTCAGGCACGGCTAACTCATGTAGGTAACTTTAATTAATTATGATACATTTTGCTCGTTGTGTGCGAAACTTGTCGCGCTCATATATTGTAACTAGAGATGCAGTATTTAGCCATAATTGACTATGGCAAAATCAAAGTTACATGTGTTGTGTGACAGCCAATTTCAAGGAACTGGCGGACAATATTTAAATAAATGTTTGATAGATGGATGCAGTAGGTAGAAAAAACCCGTAACTCATGTATCTTAAGTTAATGGATATACGCATGACATGCAGAAGTTTGAAAAACCATTCAACTTTTATCAAAGTGTAATTTATGTTTAACATTTAGGCTCAACTCACACTGGCGCAGAGTGGAAGCGTCGCGACGCGTCATGTTTGTTCGCTTATAGAATATTCATCTCTGTTTCCCCAACATTAAGGTACAAATTTGTGTTATGCAAATATGGAAACGGGCATCGAGGGGCTTGGATGCAGTCGAGCGGCTTCGCGCGTCGCCACGCGTCACTTGAGCGCAGTGAGGCGTCAGAAGCCGACCACACCGTGATCCGGGCGCACTAATATGAGCGACGACGCGCGTTGCATTTTCGCGAGTTGCGCGAAGCATTGTAGTTGAAAAACAGGACGCGACGCGACGCTTCGACTCTGCGCCAATGTGAGTTGAGCCATAGATGCGACTTTTACATTCTGCTATAATTTTTATGTTTACTTTCTTCTTACAATCTTTCTTTTACCCATTTTTGGGCAAATTTCCTTCTCTCCGTAGCTAAAGAGTTAGCGTTCGAGTTTGAATCCAACCGCCGCATTTTATTATATATTTTATGTGACCACACCTTGTCTTACCACTTCCTCAAATTTTTTTACTACAATTCCTTCAGGTCTCATGGCTCACATTAGCCGTACAATCTTGTACTATATAAATAATAATGAAAGTTAAGTCTGTAATTTGCGTGTGATTGAATACCTTATTTTTTAATTACCTACGTCATAAGTTCCATTAATCAAAAGGGACTTGCAATTAATAAGTAAGGAATTTCAATGGCACCGACATATTATAATACTTTTAAATTTAATTATTAATCGTATACCTGCTGAACCTATGTGATCTAATTAACTGTCTAAAATAACCAACAAAATAAATGATTTCGTAACGTTTTTTACCATTTGGTAAGCAACACAATGAAAATTATTTTACTGTGGCAACATATACGACTAGTGATGCGTGTAAATATTTTTATGCAAAAAATATCCGTTGACAAGAAATTACATTAATATGAATAACTATTTTTAATGAACATGCCAATTGTAGGTTACATAATTGACAGAACATTTTAATCATTTTAAAATAATATGACACTTTGAACATTGATGTTATTCAAACATAATCATTTAGATAGATAACTAATGCATTGAACCTAAATACTTTGCACGACGTAAGAACTACGTACCTAGTGCTATATTATACCGCTTCGTCAATGTTGCTTTCAACTTCAACTTATGTATAGTATAGGTATGGCTTCGTCGGTTTGCGTGACGATTTCGCCAACGTCAGGGTTGAATGACTAATACATATAATAAGGACTAGTGCGATGGTGAGATAAATTGCCGGTTATTAAACTACTCGAGCGGTTAGCAAATTTTTTTTCCCACATGATTACTTTGAAATACCCCAAAACTTACAATACAACATTCCTACCAACAAGAATATTATGTTTAGTTTAGTGCACACAAAAATTGAAATACTGGCCAAGCAAAATTGGTACTAAATTATTGTTTATGTGCTATAATGAATATATAATTGTCCTTGTATTTTGTGGCAAAACTACTAAGTTAGCGACATTACCTTGCTAAAGCTTATAAGCGTTCGTTATCTAGCCGGTTGGTATTAAATATCGGATATCTGTCCGCCATCCATGTCCAAACTTCCCTCGTCCCCCGTATGAGGACAACACTATTTGACAGTTCGTTTGCCGCAGTCGGAGGGAGTGTACTTGTAGCTGGATATATTTTGGTTTATTTTGGGCGTATTTTATTTAGATAAACCATTTGAAGGACGATAAATATTTTATATAAAACCATAACTAAAGTTTATCGAATAATGAAGTGATCTACCATTGCAGACGGTGTTATAAAAATTGTGGACAGTTAATATCGATGAGGGTTTTCTTATAAAAAAATTGTGAATTAAATTTTATTAAAAATATGGGGAAATTATTGAGTCTCCTTGCGCGTGATGACTCTAACTGTTGTTCGTCGCCGCGGTACGATATTTTCCTGGATTTTGAAAACGCCGCGCCGACGGAGACAGAACGGGAAGTCTACGAGGAGGTTCAGAGAGTCCTGTTGGATTCAGAGAAAATTCTCGAAGAAATACAGTGCTATAAGGGAGCTGGGAAAGAGATACGAGAAGCCATAGCAGATCCTTCGAGAATTTCGCAAGAGCGCGCGTGGCGGGCCATCAAACCTTTGGTGGACAAGCTGCTGCGTTGCTACAACCACTCCCTTGAACTTCAGAGGGTGAGTCACACTGTTACAATTTAAATAACTTTTTTTTTTGTATTATCTGTGCACTCCTTTTCTTTTATTTATGGAGGGTTTTTTACCCATTGAAAGGCATCTTAAACATCATCTACAGACATCAGTTAATTCCGACATCACCTAATCTGTATACCGAATTTGCTTCCTTATGCCTCCCCCTAACTCTGCCAAATTGTAATCTAGACTATAAGAAACTTTCATTTCTTTCAGTTATGTTCCTTACCCATTCCATCAAGATATACATCACATTAATCTGAGTAGAAATATTGATTAACAGCTTATTGAGATCATAGCATACTATGACCACCATACCATACATGTACCATAGTACATTGAGTGCCTATTTGTTTTGTTTGTCTTAAATTCCGCTAATAACAAAGCACTTACTTGTCAGTCTCTATGACCGCCTGATTGTAGGTATGAAATACCTCTGAGAGTAGAGACCACAATAATCCTCTACAACTTCAATTAAGCAACAAACATCCTGTTAGTAACGTAATAAATATTAATACATATTTAGTTAATACTTAATATCCTGAACAATATGAGTTGTAACTAGCTGCTTATTACATATTTATTTTGAATAAAGATTGTAATTGAAAGTTACTTACAAAATTTAAATTATAACAAATAAAATTGAAACAATAAAGCATTCATGTGAAATGAGTGTTATCTAATTTTTTTATCAGTCTGATTAGCAATGTACATCTTGTGTCACTCTATTGATAAAAACTGAATTTGTAAACATGAAGATTGTGTTTTTGTAACCCACTTTAATAATGTATTAAAATTCAAATCACTATTTTATTAAACTTTGCACATCATGAAGGCAAATCATCGCTTAGCAGACAACACCGCTCAATTGGCTTGGCAATTTTTACTTTCGAATGTTAACTCAAGTTCAAATAAAATGTGAATATTGATAAAAATTTTACAACTAACTCATATACAATTATGTGTTATCGATAAATAGAGCACTTATTACCAATAATAGATTAGAAAATCTTGTATGCAATAATATTTGTGCAGTTTTTCACTCTCCTGTAAAATGACTCCAAATTACTTGTGCAGTGTTGTTTGCTAAGTGATGAAGTTCATCTTTGAAAAGTGAACAAAACTCATGCTCTTTTAAATCCAACAATAGAATACAATAAAGAAACAAGGAGCCTGGAACAATAGCATTGGTCCAGGCGTTTTATTCATCATGACACAGGCTTTGGTATGCCCACAAGTAGAATATTAAAATTTTATATATAATAATCACATTTGCCAGAGTAGTCTCACAGTTCCCTACCTCTTCAAAAGTTCCTGTATTTAGCTTTTTCTGTACACATATTATTTCTATTCGGCTATAATGTAAAACAAAAAATAATTATACATTACAAATTTAATGTCCATAAAGTGCCCTTTAAACTTATTTCTGTAGAGATTTATTAATAGATACAATGTCGATATTATAACGATAATTAAGGGAGGGTTGTGGTCACTCCTCCATGAAGTAATTATGGGCAGATGTTTAAAAGGGTAACCTTTTATGAAATGAAATGAGCGTTCATGAAACTGGTTACCCAGTTGAGCGTTCATGAAATGTTTTCATTTGATATTTAGTTTATAGCCCACAGTATTTAACTGTTGCGCATTTTGTATTTTAATTTTTTTTTACCTTATAATAACTTTTTTCAATATCCTTAAAAGTATAGAACCACTGCAGGTGATTGTAGTTTGCTGCTGTAAATAGCTTCCTTCAATGGCAACAAAATCCAAATACAATCTTATTTTATTGTTAATCGAAAACTGCACACCAAAATTAACTAACTCTTATCATAAACTACCCACAAAGTATAATATATTATTGACCTTCCAATATAGGTTACAATTTCTTTACGACTTGTATATCTTCCTCCTAACAAAGAAAGATTTTAAAATACATGTCAGTAATTGGTCTATTAGTGCCTCTCCACTCATTATACAATTGACGTAATGGCGAGCAATCTCTATTTCAGTAGACTTGATAATTGATACATTACAACCACCTCTGCGTTGAAAAATTACCCATTAATTGGAAAATTGTAGGAAAGGCCGTAGTTTAAATAACTTTTTTATAAAAAGGAATCGATCTCAAAAGTTTATTTGCCAATTTTTTTTTTTTTTTCAATTTAGTATGTTTGCCAAGTTGTATTGAAATCGTTTACCGGAAAGTGCGCGAAACCACATTCGTCCCTTAGTTTAATTAAGTAAGAGGTGGAATATTTTCTTCAAATTTAAATGGGACCAATACTGAAGTACCCTCTTTCCAACAAAAATATAACCAACAAAAAATCGGTTCACAAATACCTTGAGTTATCGCGTAATATCATACAAAAAAATATCCAAACATCATGAATTGAGAATATCCTCCTTTTTTGAACTCGGTTAAAAATCAATGGGGTTTTGGTTAGAAGATAGATATCCCGTTTTTCTAAAGCCTTTATTCTCTCTATTATCTCTATTATCTCTCAGTGCTAAGGGTAGGCCTTCTCGTTTGCACGTCATCCTTTTAGATCTTGGGCTGATTGCATCTAGGTTTTTCAGGTTATTTTGCTTATGGGAATCAGCACACTTATTAACGAGAAATCTGCTTGAGCTGGTCAGAAAAAAAAGTTTATCGTCACCTCAATGAGAAAACCTCGCATGTCCTGATTTTTGTTGAAGAAAAACTTAAAAATTTCTTGCTTAAGTATATTATTAAATTAATATTGTATCTGAAAGAGGTATAATTTAACTAATAAAAAATACTAACTACAAACATTATTGCGTTTACTACATTTTACACCACATGTTTACCTTCGTTCTGAAAAATTACATAGAAATCACATACGAGATATTCACTCTAAAACGACGTTATGTCCATGCCATAAAAGACAAAAAGCTCCGCTGTCGCGCGTTCCCCGCCCGCCACACGTGAAAGGCACAACGACAAGCTAGACAGTACGCAGAACCGAAAGCGGTGAAAAAAGGGACTAAACGAGCTGAGAGATGAGGTGAGACGATCAGTTAGAGGTTTCCTGACCGTTCTACCACTCTAACCGGCACACAGTCGAATGGTCCAACTAATGAAAATAGGTACAATTGCCCATGTACATTAAAGAAAATATTCTTTACACCCATGCCTGTAATTACATTGGCCCTCGCTATCAATCTGGCAACAGACCTGGTGGGACCTATCCAGGTGGATTCTGCACTGGCAACCCTACCACCAATTAAAAATAATAACTGTAGGCCCCTAAGTTATATTTGACCCTACTCCCCATATAAAAATAAAACTCTCGCTACCATTCTATCATACGACCACAATTCTGTGACAATCATCCAATCAACAGATCACAACCGTCATAGTCGCGTGAGAGAATTCACGCATCCTTCTCTTCGGGGGCAACGGAACCACCAATTGAATATATTGAGTTTGTATGATTTAACATCACATAAATTAATAACCCTAACCACGCGACTCGACGTTTGTAAGTCAATAAACAATTAAATCAATAAAAATTTAACCAGACGTACACTTGTTTTGTCTTGTTAGATTCTCTGCTTTCCTCTCCTTTATGTTGTCAGCAGGCTAAGAGGCTCTTTGTACGCAGATAATATGCGCTACTGACGGCTGTTCAGGCGCCGCTTACAAAGAAGACAACCGCACACGAATATATTCCTGTAAAAATATGTTCCTGCGTAAGCACGAATGACGGTACATAATGTTATGTTGTTTCCAACAACACTAATATATGGGAGTGAGTTTTGGGTATGACAGAAGTAAAGAGTGAATGGAGTAGAAGTGAGATCCCTCAGAAATTATATATATAATGTGCGGTCATGTGACAGAGTGAACAATACTGTGATCCGTGATCAATGTGGTTTGAAGAAAAAGATATGTTGAGCTAACGTGACAGGTATCATTGAAAGAACACGGCCACGGAGAACATTCTCAGATCACGTTGAGGGTGTTCTGAAAAATTTCACTTTTAAGTTAACTTTATTAATAAGTGTTATAAAATGCAGAAAAATAAGTACAGGGATGTGCTTAGATCCCCTGTACTATGGATAGCTAGGTCTTACGTCCGTCAAGAGTGTTGCCTCAAAATAACAATGACTAAATCTATTACAACAAACTTATAAAATATGATTGGTAGAACACAAAAAAGAGGTGATTTACATTTCATTTTGGTACATTACTAAATATTACATTATTTTTTGTAAAAACAACAAAAAACAATGAGGGCCTGTGTGTAAGGGAAGCAAGAGAGGTTTGTCAGGATCGTATTAAGTGGAAATCTAAGCATAAGTAAATACGTATTCCTCTAGATGTCGGAGATAGGAAACTAAATGAGCACTAGCATTTATTTACGGCTAAGGTTGTGGATGTACCGTGATTTTTACGGCGAAATGTTCGCTAAATAACATCATTATAATTTCCCTCATACAGTCACAGCGCTGTCTGTGTACTAATAGATAGTCTCTTATCGAAAAACGTGCTTCGTTGAGAGAGACAAGGCTTATCAGATCTTTCTGTTTGTACGTCGCAACTCGCGAGGGGAAATTATTCAAGGATCCCTGAAACACACAATAAAATTCGTACACTATTCATACAAGTATAATAATAAAGAGGTAGGTAAGCCATTCACCAGAGGAGAAGCGGGAAAAACTGTTTTGCTAGATCAAATGGTTTTAGGTGTTTATTATTAAATAACTTAAATCTTCAAAAAAAAGGTAAACCTAAGCATATTGCCTTAAAAATGTGCTAATTTAGGAAATGAAACTATTTTGGTCATGGTCAACCGTGACCATGGGACCTGTAAAGGGCCCGAACGTCGAATTATACGTGTAACAATCGCGAAACCCTAAGAACTCGAAATGTGCTAATTTGCTATACTCATTTAATTTGTTACACGATAGGAGGTACTTTATCCGATTATATAACATCCTGAAAACAGGCTGAAATAAAA